AAAAGACGGGCCTGTGGCTTGGCCTTGGCCCGTCCCGTCAGGTGATATGTTACATTTATATGACTAGCATAACACTGGATAAGTTCTCATATATGATATAATAATCATCCTCGGTTGGGCTATCCAAATAAATTGCTCAAATCAAAACTTATGCAACAAAGTTAGTCCTGTTATCTTAGATCTGGTTTTGTCTTGACTTTCCCTCTAATTGTCAGCGTTAATGCGTGCAATGTGAACAGAATTTATAAGAACCAATTTTGATGCACGAATAAAATTGAGTGACACATTTTTCCCCCAAGAATTTGGAAAAGCACAAATGAACATACTGTATTAGTAACGTTTATAAGAGCCACTATTTTTATGAGTGAAATGCAGCTGAATCTCGAACTAGTTTATATTTCCAGACAAAGGTGCAAGAAACTACAGAGAAAACCTACACATAAGTTATATTCCTTTTCCAGATAAAAGTGCAAGAAACTACACACACACACACACACAAACAGAGAGAGAGAGAGAGAGAGTTGATGAGGAAGAAGAAGAAAATACAGGGCATGGACTTTACTAAGATGAGGAATTTTCAATTCATCGAGCAGGATTGTACGCCTTGTCCTAGACCAAGAAAATACAACAGCAAAAGGAAAAATACAAAAGATTTAAACTTCCAATAAATATGCTTCAATTCAAAGGGAAAGACAGCTCTATACCCCAAAAGTTAATCACCCAACATTTTCCAGAACAAACACAACACACAATAAGTCGACTCTGATATGACAAAAAAGAGAAAGAAAATAGTCAATCAATCCTCTTCTTGGGTCCAAATTCTAACCGTCTTGTCATTTCCAAGAGCTCCAGATGCTATCATGTTTTGAGTCGGATGACATGCAACTGTTAATACTGCATCCGTGTGACCTTCAAGCTTTTGTACTATTTTGCGGGACTGAAGCTCCCATAAGTACACGCAGTTGTCCTCTGACCCGCTCACAATGTATTTCCCATTCGTTATGGAGAAAGTCGATGAAATGCAGTACTTTGAGTTGGCATGGCCTGTGTAGGTTTTCAGAAATTTCCCAGACGAAAAACTCCAGAGCCGCTGGGAAAATTTTGAGATTATACGAGAGAAAAGAGAGAGTATAAATGGATGTATTTTGCAGAGATGTTATTCGAATACAGGGTGAAAATTTTCTTTGGAAGAAGATATTGTCAACATTTACTTTAGACAAGCTTATACAAGGCTTATGCGCAAAGCCCACATAACTATGCAATTAAATCCAGAATAATGCACAAGAGAATTTGCCAAGATTTTGATTTTTCAAAACACAAAATAAGCTTAGACAGGTCTTCTCTATTCCAAACCCCATCAACCTCCCACTTGAATGTCATCTATACACACATTATTTTCGTAGAGTAGAGTTCATACACAAATAGAAAGAAGCTGCGCAGTGGGTGGATTTCCTACTCCGACAGATGTTGTCTAATTCTATTTTCTCGTTCAGGATGTCAAATCCAAGAGTTAAACAAAATATAATATATATACTCTCTAACTTATATGCCTCCACTGGAGTCCCTAAACCATACAAACAGTGTATGAGAGGCTTTTGTCAAAAACCTTTTAACGTCATTATTCATATAATATAGCCGTGATAGCAGAATAGTAAACAGAACTTCTATTACTTCCCCAGTACGTGTATTTTCAGGTTACTCTATGAGTAACTTCTGTTCTGCACTCCATAAAACTAATATATTTAGTGAGATATGTTAATGCAAAAGGCCAATTAAAGGTATCAAGAAAAAAGTAACCGAATATCTTAGGGATGGATTTTATCAAGATTCTTTTCAACCTAAGCAGTTTCAATGACCATGGCTTCTCATGAACAAAATTTTGGCCGATTTCCTTGGAAAGTTAATTTAGGATACATGTTGTTCCCTGCATGTTTTAGTCAAACAAATCGCATGATTTCATGAGAACAAATTTACACATGCAGAAGCTTCATATTGTAAAAACAAAAACAAAAGTCCGTACCACTTTGAAGGTTGAGTATTGGAAAGTTACAAGAGATTTTAATTATGTTCATACTGAAATGCAGATCAAAAGGCAGAAATTCAGTTAACCTTGACAAAAATTTCAAACGAACTAATAATTTTCACAATGAACTGAAAGATTAAGATTCTTACAATGAACTGAAAGACCATCCTGTTCATTTGTGATCAAGTAGTGACAAAAACTTCATTCATACCAGATCAATCTTTAATACAGATAATGAGACTAGAAAATCTGGTCACTCAACAATTGGCACAAGTCACTCAGATCAATGAAGCAGACTATTGCATGATTAGCCACCAGGCCATCATATCAAATATCTATCAATGTACGACACGCTATAATTACAACCTATCTACAATGATAACTACAGATCAGAACTAGTGTTGATATTGCTCAAGAAAAATAGCAACAGCAATACCATTGTTTTTTCTTCTCTTTTAGGAAGAAGCGATTCAAAGATATAGCGAACAAACAACAAGTGAAGATTGAAGAAAACAAGTTAAGTATATAGACAGACATATCTAAGCACATATTCTGTTACTTAAGGAACCATCCAACCAACTGAAGCACTAAAATCCTTCATTACTTTTTCACTTGGGCCAAATAAACCAAACCATACACCTCTGATTGTCAAACAATTAATCTAGGATCCTAATTGAGTTGATAACACTTTCAAGCATGGTTATTAAACGCAGCCCCATTTGCAGTCACCAAAAGACAATCACATCAAGCAAATTAAACAAACAAAATATCTGAAATGAAAACCCAAACTAACCAGAGTATTATCAAGAGTCCCAACAAGAAGAAACTTCCCATTGGGCGAGAACTTAGCAAAGCTAACGGGCGGGTGCTCCTCTTCAATAAGCGTCTTCATACAATGCCCAGTGGAGGCATCCCAAACCCTGCAAAGCCCATCGTAGCTGCTGGAGACAATCATGGAACCGTCCAGATTGAAATGGACGGCCGTCACAGGGTCAGAATGCGCGGGCAGCACCTTGAGGCACTTGCCAGACTTGACATCCCAAACGCGGACGGTCTCGTCAAAGGAGCCGGAGGCGAGCATGTTCGACTGGGGGTTGAAATTGACACAGAAGACGTAGTTGGTGTGGCCTTCTAGGGTTTTGATTAGGGAGCCGGTGGCGACGTCCCAGAGGCGGACGGTGCGGTCGTCGGAGGCGGTGGCGAGGAAACGACCGTCGGATGAGAAGGATAGGTCAGAGATTCCGAGCTCGTGGCCGTGGAACTCGTTGTGGACTGTGTCGGGGGAGGAGAGGGAGTAAGTGCGAGCGGTCTTGTCGGCAGAGCAGGAGGCGAGGAGACGGCCGTCGTCGGAGAATTTGACGCCGGAGACGGCACGTTTGTGGACGGAGAGGGTGTGCTTGAGCCGGTAGGGTTTGTAGGATCCTGCGGGCTCGGTGGTCGACGCCATTGATGCCGGTGAATTTGTGATTTTCTGGATTTTCTATATCTAGAATCGGGTAACCAGGGTTCTTGCCTTGGAGGAATTTCTTAAGCAGGTGAAGTAACCACTGTTATAGTGTGAAATAATTATGTGAAATTTTGAAAGTCTTATTATTAAAATTTAATTCAATTTAGTTA